GAAGAGAAAGGGATGAGGATGGGATGAAAATGGGATGAGGTTGAGGATGGGATGGGATGAGGAGGAGGATGAGATGAGGTTGAGGATGGGATGGGATGAGGAGGAGGATGAGATGAGGATGGGATGGGATGAGGATGAGATGTGGAGGAGGATGAGATGAGGATGGGATGAGGATGGGATGGGAAAAAGGAGGATGAGGGGGATGGGATGAGGAGGAGAATGGTAATGAGGATGGGATGAGAATGGGGATGAGGATGGGATGAGGATGAGGAGGAGGATATGATGAGGATGGGATGAGGAGGAGGATATGATGAGGAGGGGATGAGGAGGATGGGATGAGGAGGAATGAGGCTGGGATGAGGATGGGATGGGATGAGGATGGGATGTAGATGAGATGGGATGAGGATGAGATGGGATGGGATGGGATGGGATGGGATGATGGATGGGATGTGGGTGGGGAGGGGATGGGATGGAGGATGGGATGGGATGGGGTGAAGATGGGATGAGGATGAGGATGGGGTGAAGATGGGATGAGGATGAAGGATGGGGTGGGGTTGAGGATGGGATGTGATGAGGATGGAAATGAGGATTGGATTAGGAGGAGGGATGAGATGAGGATGGGATGGTGGATGATGGGATGGGAGGATGGGAGATGGATAGAGAGGATGGGATGGGATGATGGGATGGGATGGGATGGATGGATGGATGATGAGATGGGATGTGTGGATGAGGATGGGGATGAAATGTGATGAGATGGATGAGATGGATGGGATGGGATGGGATGAGGATGAGGATGATGGAATGGGATGAGGATGGGATGGGATGGGATGAGATGAGGATGGGATGAGGATGGGATGGGATGAGATGAGGATGGAGGATGATGAGGAGGATGGAATGGGATGGGATGTGGATGGGATGGGATGAGGATGGGATGGGGGGATGGGATGGGGATGAATGGATGGGGGGGGGATGGGATGAGGGGGGAAGATGGATGAGATGGGGAGGATGGGTGGGGAATGGGATTAGGATGAGGATGGGAATGGGATGAGATGAGGATGGATGATGAGGAGGATGTGATGGGGGGATGGGATTGGATGGGATGGATGAGGGGATGGGATGTGGGAAGGATGAGGATGGGATGGGGATGGGATGAGGATGGGAAGGATGGGATTGGGATGGGATGAGGGTGGGATGGGATGAGGATGGGGATGGGATGAGATGGGATGAGGATGGGATTGGATGGGATGGGATGGGATTGGATGGGATGGGATGAGTGAGGATGGGATGTAGATGGGATTGATGGGGATGGGGGGATGAGGATGGGATGGGATGGGATGATGGGATGGGATGGGATGGGATGAGGATGGGGATGGATGGGATGGGGGGGATTGGATGGGATAAGGATGGATGATGGGATGGGATGGATGGGATGGGATGGGATGGGAGGGATGTGGGATGGGATAAGGATGGGATGAAGGTTGGGATGGGATGTGGATGGGATGGGGAAGGGGATGGGATGGGATGGGGATGGGAGGGATGGGATGTGGGATGGGATGGGATAAGGAGGGGGATGGGATGTGGGATGGGATGGGGAAGGGAGATGGGATGTGGATGGGATGGGATGTTGAAATGGGATGGGATTTGGATGGGATGGGTTATGATGGGATGTGGATGGGGATGGGATATGGGATGTTGATGGGATGTTAGGGATGGGGATGGGATGGGATGGGATTTGGGATGGGGATGGGGATGGGATGGGATGGGATGGGGATGGGATGTGTGGGAGATGGATGGGATGGGATGTGGATGGGATGAGGATTGGGATGGGGGTGGGATGGGATGGGATGGGATGGGATTGGATGTGGATGGGGGATGGGATAAGATGGGGGGATGTGGATGGGATGGGATAAGGATGGGGATGGGATGTGGATGGGATGGTTGGGATGTAGATTTGGGAATGGGATGGGATGTTGATGGGGATGGGATTTTGGGATGGGATGGGGGGGGGAGGATTGGGGGATGGGGGTGGGGATGTGGATGGGATAAGGATGGGGATGGATGGGATGTGGATGGGATGGGATGTGGATGTGGATGATAAGGATGGGAAAAGGGGATGGGGTGGGATGTGGAGGATGGGATGGGATGATGGGATGGGATGGGATGGGATGGGATGGGGGATTAAGATGGGATGGGATGTGGAAGGGGATGGGGATGTGGATGGGAATAAGGATGGGGATTGGGATGTGGATGGGATAGTTAAGGATGGGATAAGGATGGGGATGGGATGTGGATGTTGGATGGGAGGATTTGATGGGATAAGGATGGGGATGGGATGGGTTATGTGGATGGGATGAGGATTCAGTGTGGAATATACTGAGTTATATATAAATACAAATCGATTGATTGAATTAATATTGATGATGTGTAGGATATCAGAGCAGAAAGATATGGAGAGGATTGAGGATCGGATGTGGATGGGATGGGATAAGGAAGGGATGGGATGAGATGGGATGAGGATGGGATGTGGATGGGATGTGGATAGGGATGGGATGAGGATGGGATGTGGATGTGATGGGATGGGATAAGGAAGGGATGGGATGATGATGGGATGGGATAAGGATGATGGAGGGATGGGATGGGATGAGGATGGGATGGGATGAGGATGGGATGTGGATGGGATAAGGAAGGGATGGGGATGAGGATGGGATGGGATGGATGAGGATGGGATGTGGATGGGATGGGATGAGGATGGGATGTGGATGGGATGGGATAATGGAAGGGATGGGATGGGATGAGGATGGGATGGGATGGGAATGAGGATGGGATGTGGATGGGGATGAAAGGAAGGGATGGGATAGGATGTGAGGATGGGATGGGATGGGATGAGGATGGGATGTGGAATGGGATGGAAGGGGTTTTGGGATGAGGATGAGGATGGGATGAGGATGGGATGGGGATGGATGGGATGGGTATAAGGATGGATGGGATGAGGATGGGATGGGATGAGGATGGGATGGATGGATGGGGATGGATAAGGAAGGGATGGGATGGGATGAGGATGGGATGGGATGAGGATGGGATGGGATAAGGAATGGGATGGGATGGGATGAGGATGGGATGGGATGGGATGAGGATGGGATGTGGATGGGATGTGGATGGGATGGGATAAGGAAGGGATGGGATGGGATGAGGGATGGGATGGGATGGGGATGAGGATGGGATGTGGATGGGATAAGGAAGGGATGGGATTGGATATGGAGGGGGATCTGGTTGCCATTGTACAATGTATGGAGGGGATCTGGTTGTCCTTGTACAATGTATGGAGGGGATCTGGGTTGTCCTTGTACAATGTATGGAGGGGGATCTGGTTGTCATTGTACAATGTATGGAGGGGATCTGGTTGTCATTGTACAATGTATGTATGGAGGGGATCTGGTTGTCCTTGTACAATGTATGGAGGGGATCTGGTTGTCATTGTACAATGTATGGAGGGGATCTGGTTGTCATTGTACAATGTATGGAGGGGGATCTGGTTGTCCTTGTACAATGTATGGAGGGGATCTGGTTGTCCTTGTACAATGTATGGAGGGGGATCTGGTTGTCCTTGTACAATGTATGGAGGGGGATCTGGTTGTCATTGTACAATGTATGGAGGGGATCTGGTTGTCCTTGTACAATGTATGGAGGGGATCTGGTTGTCATTGTACAATGTATGGAGGGGATCTGGTTGTCATTGTACAATGTATGGAGGGGATCTGGTTGTCCTTGTACAATGTATGGAGGGGATCTGGTTGTCATTGTACAATGTATGGAGGGGATCTGGTTGTCATTGTACAATGTATGGAGGGGGATCTGGTTGTCCTTGTACAATGTATGGAGGGGATCTGGTTGTCATTGTACAATGTATGGAGGGGATCTGGTTGTCCTTGTACAATGTATAGAGGGGATCTGGTTGTCATTGTACAATGTATGGAGGGGATCTGGTTGTCATTGTACAATGTATGGAGGGGATCTGGTTGTCCTTGTACAATGTATGGAGGGGATCTGGTTGTCATTGTACAATGTATGGAGGGGATCTGGTTGTCATTGTACAATGTATGGAGGGGATCTGGTTGTCCTTGTACAATGTATGGAGGGGATCTGGTTGTCCTTGTACAAGTATGGAGGGGATCTGGTTGTTGTACAATGTACAATGTATGGAGGGGATCTGGTTGTCATTGTACAATGTATGGAGGGGATCTGGTTGTCATTGTACAATGTATGGAGGGGGATCTGGTTGTCATTGTACAATGTATGGAGGGGATCTGGTTGTCCTTGTACAATGTATGGAGGGGATCTGGTTGTCATTGTACAATGTATGGAGGGGATCTGGTTGTCATTGTACAATGTATGGAGGGGATCTGGCTGTCCTTGTACAATGTATGGAGGGGGATCTGGTTGTCGTTGTGTACAATGTATGGAGGGGATCTGGTTGTCCTTGTACAATTGTATGGAGGGGATCTGGTTGTCCTTGTACAATGTATGGAGGGGATCTGGTTGTCCTTGTACATAGTATGGTAGGGGATCTGGTTGTTGTTGTACAATGTATGGAGGGGATCTGGTTGTCCTTGTACATATGTATGGAGGGGATCTGGTTGTCCTTGTACAATGTATGGAGGGGATCTGGTTGTCCTTGTACATAGTATGGAGGGGATCTGGTTGTTGTTGTACAATGTATGGAGGGGATCTGGTTGTCCTTGTACAATGTATGGAGGGGATCTGGTTGTCATTGTACAATGTATGGAGGGGATCTGGTTGTCATTGTACAATGTATGGAGGGGATCTGGTTGTCATTGTACAATGTATGGAGGGGATCTGGTTGTTGTTGTACAATGTATGGAGGGGATCTGGTTGTCCTTGTACAATGTATGGAGGGGATCTGGTTGTCCTTGTACAATGTATGGCAGATATTGGACCATGCTCTGGATCTGATGATTTGTTTCCTCTCTGCAGGTGACTCCATGGAGCCCAAAGTCGAGGAGAAGTCGGGGAAGAAGAGGACCAGGGCCGCCTTCTCCCATGCTCAAGTCTATGAATTGGAGAGACGGTTCAGTCTGCAGAGATATCTCTCTGGACCAGAAAGGGCCGATCTGGCTGCAGCCCTGAAGCTCACAGAGACCCAGATTAAGATCTGGTTCCAGAACCGGCGATACAAAACCAAGAGGAAGCTGATGGCCAAGCAACAGGCGAGCAAAGCCCCGGAGACCCCGGCCAGGCAGGTGGCAGTCCGGGTCCTGGTGAAGGATGACCAGAGACAATACTGCCCAGAGGAGGTCCTGTGCCCATCTCTGCTGTCACTATACCAGGCCTACCAGTATTACCCCCTCCTCTACCGGATACCCTCCTGGGCCCCCCACATCTAGCCAGGGGACCCATCGCCCCCAACTCAGGAGAAGAACTCTGGCCACCCTTCTTCTTCCTCCCTCCATACTGCTGACTGACCTACCTGACCTCAGACTGAAGAGTCATTCCATGTGAAGGCCAACATCCCAGCAGTACCTAGTTCCTGCCCCCCAGTATAGGTGGGGTGACTCCTCAGAGGTACCAAAACCCTAAAAGGGTCATCCTCCATAGAGACCAAAGATAGAACCCTGAGCCCATCTATCTGCTGTGCAACTGGCGGCCATGCTGGGAACACCTGGGAATGCCATAATCCAATGGGAACGCCACAATCCAATGGGAACACCTCAATCCAATGGGAACGCCTGGGAACACCTCAATCCAATGGGAATGCCTCAATCCAATGGGAACACCTGGGAACTCCACGATCCAATGGGAACACAACAATCCAATGGGAACGCCACAATCCAATGGGAACACCCAGGAACTCCACGATCCAATGGGAACACAACAATCCAATGGGAATGCCACAATCCAATGGGAACACCCAGGAACACCACATTCCAATGGGAATGCCTCAATCCAATGGGAACACCTGGGAACACCTCAATCCAATGGGAACACCTGGGAACTCCACGATCCAATGGGAACACAACAATCCAATGGGAACACAACAATCCAATGGGAACACCTGAGAACTCCACGATCCAATGGGAACACAACAATCCAATGGGAACACCTGGGAACTCCACGATCCAATGGGAACACAACAATCCAATGGGAACACAACAATCCAATGGGAACACAACAATCCGATGGGAACACCCGGGAACACCACAATCCAATGGGAATAATAGTCAAGGCTTCAGACTGAGACATCTGTATAAATGTAGGGTGGATGGGACCTTCTATCTCAGTAGCCTTCTTCATCCAGAGTCTCGGTGCTCTCTGTGTACAGACTGGTCTATACTGGGTCCCCGTGCCTGCCTCCTACTGGGCAGGGTGGAGTCCATAGTTGGGTGACTTTTCCACCCTCTGATTGTAGTATCAGCATTGTGCTGTGTATAGTGACTGTGAAGGATCTGCTGGATTCCCTCTGCAGATCTCGGTGCACTAATTGTAAATATCGGACTGATCGCCCCATACATTGTAATTTATTAGACTGAAGAACTGATTTCTGGCTTTGTAGTCCGAAGTAAAAATTTATTCTTCAATTTCCGATCTCTTTCCTTCATTCAATGCAATTCAGGTGACTGAATGACCTCATCACCGCCGCACCACCTCACCACCTTATCACCACCTCACCACCACCTCATCACCACCTTATCACCACCTCACCACCACCTCATCACCCCCGCCTCATCACCACCTTATCTACATCACCACCTTCATCACCACCTTATCATCAATCACCTCACCACTGCCTCATCACTACCTTATCACCATCTCACCACCGCCTCATCACCACCTCATCACCACCTTATCACCACCTCACCACTGCCTCATCACCACCTTATCACCACCTCACCACCGCCTCATCACCACCACCCCTCATCACCTCACCACACCACCGCCTCATCACCACCTCATCACCTCACCACTGCCTCATCACCACCTTATCACCACCTCATCACCTCACCACCTTATCACCACCTCTCCACCACTGCCTCATCACCACCTTATCACCACCTCATCACCTCACCACCTTATCACCACCTCACCACTGCCTCATCACCACCTTATCACCACCTCATCACCTCACCACCGCCTCATCACCACCTCATCTCACCACCGCCTATCACCACCCACTAACCCACCTCACCACCTCACCACTGCCTCATCACCACCTTATCACCACCTCACCACCTCATCACCACCTCATCCCCCCACCACCGCCTCATCACCACCTCATCACCTCACCACTGCCTCATCACCACCTTATCACCACCTTATCACCACCTCACCACCTTATCACCACCTCACCACTGCCTCATCACCCACCTTATCACCACCTCATCACCTCACCACCCTCCTCATCACCACCAGCTCACCACTTCATCACCACTTCATCACCACCTGAACACCTCACCACCGCCTCATCACCACCTCATCACCACCTTATCACCATCTCACCACCACCTCACCACTTCACCGCCTCATCACAATCCTCTATGAAATGAAATAAAAAAGCGATCCAAATGTGGGACTTCAGGTGCCTTTTCTCCAGCCTCAGGAACAGACAAAAGAGAGATTTCTATGAAAAACAACCGAATTATCCGATTTTGATCGTATGGAAAGAATTCAATGAAACAGAAATGATTTCTGCATTGCAGCGATTTATATACTGCGCCGAGCTCCTCCTGCATCCTCCCCGAATCATTACAGATCCATCAGATAAAAATCGCATCAATAAAGACGCAGTGTGTGTGGAGATTCCGTAACAATCGGAGAATCCAGCCGGGAAATGTTGTAATTCTTTTCATACGATAAAATTCGGATGTTTTCTGTTCTGTCCATTCCTGAGGCGGGAGAAGAATCAACTCTGAAGTCCCACATTCGGATCGCTTTTTTATCTGCTTCATTATTTTATTTCCATAAAGATCGGGGGAGATCGCCGATTGGTCACTAGACAGAACTGTAAAGTAATTATGGGGGATCCGCCGATCTCTCAGTGTATCATACACCTCCCAATATCGGATATATGGAGACAGAGACAGGAGTAAAGGAGCCGATTCCGATATATAACGATTTCTCTGCAATCTCTCTGTAATAATGGATTCAATGTGCATAGAAAGGCATTAATTGTCCCACCTCCCTTAAATATCGTTCAATCCCTCCATACACAGAAACATCGATCATCTGTCGGTCAGAGGCGGAACCCTCCGGTCGGTGACGTCGGGTAACATTATTATTATGGGATGATGATGGCAGAGATCGATGTCTGATATCGGAGGATCTGGAGTTGTGGTGAAAGGAAGAAGGGTCGGTCGCACATCGGAGGAATGATAACGATTTATTATTCCATAAAATACAAATCGCACCAGGACGTTAGCGCGTTTCACGCGATCAGGTGCTTAATCATGACCATTATCATTCATCATTCCTCCGGTGTGCTCTGGATATCGGGCGATGTATGAAGGAGGCGATACACCGGCAAATCATTCCCCCCAGTGTGGGGTGACAACGCCCTCCTCCAGTCCAATCTGTCAGATAATAATCGGTGCGGAGCTGACATGATCGGCCATAGATCGCACCGGGACTGTGCGACAAATACAGAGATCGTTCCCCTTCGTTGGCCGCAAATCCACCGAAAGAGAAAAAAACGCAAATTATGGAGGAAAAATATCATATAATGTGACAGAAGATAATGTCATGTATCATATAATATAATAGATTGTGACGTGTATAATATAATAGATTGTGACGTCACATAGTATAATATAATAGATTGTGACGTCACATAGTATAATATAATAGATTGTTGTGACGTCACATAGTATAATATAAATGTGATATAATAGATTGTGACGTCACATAGTATAAATATAATAGATTGTGACGTCACATAGTATATATATATATTATTATTATTATACAGTATTTATAAAGCGCCGATAGTTGGCTCAGCGCTGTACATTACAAAGGGGGACAGAACATGTGACAGAACAATACCAATACAATGTGATACATGAGGGGATCGAGGGCCCTGATCCTGGGAGCTTACAATCTAGGATATAATGTAATATAATAGATTGTGACGTAATATAGTATAATATAAGGTGATATAATCGATTGTGACGTAATATAGTATAATATATATATAAATCGATTGTGACGTCACATAGTATAATATTGTGATATAATCGATTGTGACGTCACATAGTATAATAAAGGTGATATAATCGATTGTGAGTAATTAGTATATAAGGTGATATAATAGATTGTGACGTCACATAGTATAATATAAGGTGATATAATAGATTGTGACGTCACATAGTATAATATAATGTAATGTATAATAGTGTGATATAATTAATAATATGTATCCATGGAGGAATGATATCATATATGTGACGGGGATCATATCATGTGAAGTCATGAAGTATCATTTATTATAAGGTGACATAATATAGTATAATAAAATGTAATATAACATAAATTATTATTATTATACAGGATTTATGGCGCCAACAGTGTGCACAGCGCTGTACAATATAACGGGAGACAATACATTTTCAGAACAGAAGGAATAGGAGGTCAATAATGAAATATATTATGATGTAAAGTAATATAATGAAATATAAGTGTGATATAAATACTATATAATGTCATTTAATGTAAAGTAATATAAAATGCTGTAATATAACGAAATATCATAGAAACAAAGAAAAGTGACGGCAGAACAAGACCGAGTGGTCCATGGAGTCTGCCTGTTATTTTCTTGTGGTTTTTTTCTTTTTGTTAACTTTTTTGTCATCTGATATAATATAATGTAATACAATGTAACATAATATAGTATAATGTAATAAAATACAATGTAATATAATATAAAATCATAATATAAAGTAATGAAATATAAGATAGTGTAATATACTCTATGACGTCATTTAATGTATAATAATAATCATGTAAAGTAATATAAAATGCTGTCATGTAATGAAATATCAAAGAAACAAAGAAAGTGACGGCAGAACAAGAGCTCCATCGAGTCCGATTTCTTGTTTGCTTTTGTTAACTTTTTTTGTCATATAATATAAAATAATAATATAAAGTAATATAATGAGATATAATTAATAATCTGTGTCCATGGAGGAGTGATATCATACATGTGACCGAGGATAATATCCTATAATATGTCATTTAATGTAAAATAATATTATAAAGTAATAAAAGGAAATAAAATATCAGATTATGTACAATAAATTAATATACTTTATAATGTAATATAATATAAAATAATAATATAATATAATGTGATATATAGAAGATGACCCGATGATGGGACAGTCGGACGATTATCGCT